CATTTCTTGGCTACAATCTCCATTTGAACTGATGACTGAACCAAGGTAAGCACATTCTGCATGTCATTATCTCCTTGATGTCTTCGTTAAAGGTAGGCATTTCTTCTGTGGTCATGATTTTTGTCCTCTAGATGTCTAAATGCAATCCTCCTTTGGCAGGTTCTTCTTTCCCTTTCATCAGAAGTTGTTTCAACCATTGCTGCTTTCTGCCAGAAAGGTGTTATCTTCTGCATATTGTAAGTTATTGACATTTCTTCTCCCAAACTCCACTTCTTTCCTGAGCCTAGCCCAGATTTTTCATATGATATGTTCTGTGTACAGATTAAATGAATAGGGATAAAATACACCCTTGTCTGACACCTTTGCCGATAGGAAACTATTTTCTTCCTCTACTACAAACTGTATACTTCCTTCTACTTAATTTAGGTGTAATTTGTTCTTCTATTTTTAACTTCTCAAAGAGAAAATTTAAGGTAATTGATTTAAACATTTTTCCTTTTCTAATATAAGCATTTAAAGCTGTAACATTCCTTCAACGTATTGCTTTAGCCAAATCCCATCAATTTCTATATGTTTTCATTACTATTCAATTCAAAATATTTTATAATTTCTCTAAAGATTTCTTATTAGATCCATGGGTTATTTAGAAATAAGTTATTAATTTCAAGCTTTATTTGAATGTGGCCAAATAACTTAGTCTGTATGAGTTCAATCCTTTTAGACTTGCTTTGTGTTCCTGCACATGGTCTATGGGTGAATGGTCTACATGTACTGGAGGAGAATGATATTCTGCTTTTGCTATGTGTCACACTATAGTTATAGGTGTCAATTAGGTCCAGTTCTCTATACCCCTGCCGATCTTCCTGCTGCTCCTTTCATCAGTGCCAGAGAGGAATGATCAACTCTCCAGACAGAACTGTGAATTCAGCTACTTCCCCTGCCGTTTGGTCAGTTTTGTTTCATGTTCTTTGAAGCTCTTTGGGTACATACACATTTAGGACTGATAGGTCTTCTTGATGAATATATCTTTTAATCAGTATCTCTGCTAACAATACTTGCCTTGAAGTGTACTTTGCCTGATATTAATATGAGCCACTGCAGTTTTATGATTTTTTGATGTATATATTTTTCCATGCTTTAAACATGCCAATCAACAGTCATTTTGACATTGCTGGTGTTTATTTCTCTTTTTACCTTTTTATCTGTGAGGAAAGGCACAAATCCTAAGTGCATGGCCCCACAAAATGTTCATAGGCTGCGCATGCCCAGGTCACCAGCCCAGATAAGACGACTGTCCCCAGCGATGCCCAAGGAATCTCCTTCTGGTCCTCCCCACCCCTCCAAGAAAACCACCATCTGACTTCTAACCTGAGATTCAAACTGAAGATTCTAAAACATCGAGTTTCTGATATTTACACACCAGGATAGCTGCCTTCCCGCCATCCTTTGAGGCAGGGGCCTGCTGAAGCAGAAGCTGTCCCGCAGGAAGGGCACCACCCTCCTGGCCCACGGCCACCAGCTCGTTCTATCATCTCCCTGGCCCACTTATTTGGGTCTTTAAAGTGTGTTTCTCGTAGAAAGCATATAATTGGACCTTGCTTTATTATTTAGTTTGACCATCTCTGCCTCTTATCTAAACTTTTAGGTCATTTTTATGTAACTGTCCATAGTAACTGTCCATGTCTATGTAACTTACCATCTTGCTATTTTACTTTATCCCATCTCTTCTTTGTTCCTTTTTCCTCTTTTCCTGTCTTCTTCCAGAATGAGTTTTTTTCATTTTATCTCCACTCCATATATTGTCTTATTAGCCTTATGTCAATATTTTGGGGTGTTTACTGTAGGGTTTATAATAGGCATCTTCACAATATAATTACTCGATTTTCAATTAATACCTATTCATGTATAATGTGAACTTTTCTACAATGTTTGTCCCTTTTCCTCAATCTTGTCCTATTGGTTTCATACATTTCACTTTCACATGTTATAATTCCCACAATATACTGTTATGTATGCTTAAATAGTCCATTAGAACCCTCAGCTAACATTATACTCAGTGGAAAACAAGACAAGGATGTCTGCTTTTGCCAATGCTATTCAACATAGTATTGGAAGTTCTAGCCAGGTTCAGACACAAGAAATAAAAGACATACAAATTGGAGAGGAAGAAGTAAAACTATTTCTGTTCACAAATGACCTAATCTTATATGTAGAAAACCCTAAAGATCCCACACCTAAAACAACTGGTAGAGCTAATAAACAAAATTCAGCAAAGTTGACGTATACAAAATCAACACACAAGAATCAGTTGTATTTCTATACAGTAACAATGAACAATCTGAAAGGAAAGTTAACAATTCAATTTATAAGAACATCAAATAATAATCTGCTTTGGCAAGGCGGATTTTTTTAAAAAGACAAAAAAAAAAAAGAATAAAATAGAAATAAATTTAACTAAGAATGTGAAAGACTCATACACTGAAAACTATAAAACACTGCTAATGGAAATTAAAGAAGACATAAGTAAATGGAAAGACATCCCATGTTAATGGATTGGAAGACAATATTAAGATGCCAATAATGCCTAAATGACATATAGATTTAATGAACTCCATATTAAAAATCCAATGGCATTATCAGAAATTTCAAAAAATTCAAAAAATTCATATGAAATCTCAAAATTCCCCTAAATAGCCAAAACAATTTTGGGGAACTCATACTTCTTGCTTTCAAAACCTACTACAAAGCTACAGTAATCAAAATAATGTAATACTAGAGATGGACATATAGACAAATGGGATAGAATAGAGAGCCCAGAAATAAACCCTCTCACATATGGTCAACTGACTTTTAATAAAGGTTGCCGAGACCAGGTTGAAAAGAGCAGTCTTTTCAACAAATAGTGCTGAGAAAACTAGATAAGCACATGTAAAACTAGATATCCAACTTCCAACAAAAATTAACTCAACATGGATCAAAGACCTAAGTGTAAGAGCTAAAACTACAAAACTGTTAGAATATGAGGGAAGGCCTCAGGACATTGGATTTGGGGGTTGGGGGGTTGACATCAAAAACTAGGCAACAACAATAAAAAGATAAGTTGGACTTTATCAGAATTAGAACCTTTTTTGCATCAAAAAATATCATTAAGTGAGTGAAGAGATAGTTCACAAAATGGGAGAAAATATTTGAAAATCCTGTATCTGATAAGCGATGAATATGAATATTAACCTAATTGAGCCTCTAGACCTAAATTCCAATTTACAGAAAGACAGAGGGTAGAATAACAAGTTAAACGCTAATATAACTAAAAAAGCAGACAAATCCAGAACATGAGAACCTCTAAAAGATAATTGGCCTGGTAGGGGTGTTGTTCAGGATTAAAAGAGACTAAATAAACAACAAAAGACAATGTTTAAACCTTGATTGAATCTTGGACTGTGGCTAGAGGATGAGAGCTTTAAAAGACATTCTTCAGATAACTGGGAAAATATGAGTCTATATGTTGAGTGCAACAATACTATTGTGGTTATGCAGGAAAATGTACTTACACTTAACAAATGCATACTAAAATAGTTAAAGTGTTATAAATTTTGAAACTTACTATTAAATAGTTCTGCCAAGCCCTGGCCTGGTGGCTCAGTTGGTTGGAGCATCATCCCATGCACCAAAAGGTTTCGGGTTTGATTCCAGGTCAGGGCACATACCTAGTTTGGGGGTTCAATCCCCAGTTGGGGCGGGTACAGGAGGCAACTGATCAATGTTTCTCTTGTGCTTCAGTGTTCTTCTCTCTTTCTCTCTTCCTCTCTAAATTCAATAATAAAAAACATCCTCGGGGAAGGATCAATATATATATATATATAAATAGTTCTGCCAAAAAAAAAAAAGAAAACGTGAGATAGAATATATGAGAACAATGTCAACAATTGTCAAATTTCAGTGAAAGGTATATGAGTGATCATTGTACTATTCCTTTCTCGTTTCTGTAGATTTGAAAAATTTAAAACTAAAAAGTTCAGGCCCTGGACAGTTTTGCTCAGTGGTTAGAGAGTCAGCCTGCAGACAAAAAAGTCGTGCGATTCCGGTCAAGGGCACATACCTTGGTTTCGGTTCAGTCCCCAGCCCTGGTCAGGGTCATGCAGGAGGCAACCAATCTATGTGTTTCTCCCACATCTATGGTCCTCTTTTTCTCTCTCTCTCTCTCTCTCTCTCTCCCTCTCCCTCTCCCTCTCCCTCCCTCCCTCCTTTCCTCTCTATCTGAAGATAAATGGAAAATATCCTCGGGTGAGGATTTTAAAAAACAACAACAAAATACCACTAATAAGTTCAGGGTGAAAAGGCTGTGGGTCACTATATTATACAACTTAAAATGGTGACGTTTAAATATATATATTTTTAATAGATATTTTGAGAAAGAGAGGAAGGTGAAGAGAGAGATAGACACAGTGATGTGAGAGAGATACATTGATCAGCTGCCTCTTGCATACACCCTACTGGGGATTGAGCCTGCAACCCAGAATGGAACTGGGACCTCTCAGTCCATGGAACGACACTCAGTCCACTGAGCCACACCGGCCGGGCAAAATGGCGAAGTTTATGTTACAGAAATTTTATCTCAAAAAATTAAAGAGCTGTAGGTCTCTGACGTTGGGGAGTTATTACAGAACTACTTAACTTGCTCTGACAGCTCCATTCCCATATGTCATGATGGGAACAGTGTCCCCGGGAGTCATGTGAGCTACATAATGCCACGACACTGGGTACAGTGGTCTTCTCATGTTGAGATAGAGTTAGAAGGAAACACAGAATACTTAGGCAGAATTAGAAAAAAAATAGGATAAGATAAAATGTAAGATAAAATTACTTTTATATATTTTAATTCCTATTGTTAATTTTAGAGTTACTAGGAGGAAGCAAGACATGACCATTTGGCCAGAAATTGAGCATAGCCTCAATTGGTTAAGAGTAAATGTCAAAAGCAAACCACACTGGCCACACACCTGGGTTGATGGACGGAGGGGGAGGAGGTGGGAGAGGCTGGCCTTCTTTAATGGCTATGGTACACTGCTTCGCTGATCGAATCGCATTAATAAAGTCTTCATGTTGTTGTCTCCAGTTAGCTTTTCTCACAGGTTGAGGCTATAAAAAAATAAAAGCAACATATACTAGCCTAGACTATATATCTCTCCACTATCATTTTTTTTTTTCTTTTGCAGCTGGGATTTGAATTTCCAGGAAACAGGACTGTGAAATTTGGAGAGGGAAGGAGAATTTGTTTTTCAAAAGCACTAAAAGAGATTTGGAAAATACAGTAATAAAATCATAAGTGACAGTAGTGAAGGAAAACACACAATAATGATCAGAAAAACAAAGTAACTACAAAACTTTAAAGGAAGACTTAAATGTAAGATTAAAAGTGACTTTCTTCCAAGTTAATTGCTAGATTTAGTGCTACTCTAATGAAAGTATAAACAAGATTCTTTTTTCCCACATCTGGAAAGTATCTGAAATACATTTGGAAATCTCAGTGAGCATGATTAAAAAGAAAACAGGGAAGGTGGATTATACTTACATGACTTTACACTGCTCTATCGAGCAAGAATGAAACCAGAGAGCCAGAAAGAGGCTTTAATGTACTTAAGGATGTAATCAAGAATAAGGAAGACACTGATAATACCTTGGGTGGAGGAGCAGTTCTCACAGTGGGGACACCAGTGCCCTCTAATCTTTGCTTTAAGGAATTGAAAGGTTTACGCTTTTTGTTGAAGAGTTTTTTACATATTGGTCCATGCCTTTCCTAAAAAAGAAAGAGAGGGGATTACTTTTTTTTTTAAGGTATAAATCACCAAGTTTGTAATGCTGCAATGTACTCAGGCAGCCCCCGCTCCAGTGACTGAGCTGCACCTTCAGAGCCAAGTTCGCTCTCCAACTCTCAAATCACAGTAGAGCAAATCCATCTGGCCCCTCGCCCCTGTTACACATAGCTAGATATTATGTTTGGTCAAGGTCAACAAAAGGACTCTACAGCTAGAGACTCATTTTACATTTGGTTTTACACATTTAACTCTACCACTTGGGCTGTATGAATGGTTCTAAGCATTAACTAATGTTGAAAAGACAAACTTTGCTTTTAAAACTGAAATAAATATTTCTGATCACTGAGCCATTTTCAAGGGCTCACTGAAACCAGTGAAGTTGTGTCGATCGCTTTTATTCTGTGTCCTGCCTTCACTGTTTCTACATTTCAAAACCAAGGCATTTGAGTCCCAACAACCTTAATATTCAGTTTTACCATCTTTTTTAAATAGCCCTTTGCACACAGCAAAGGAAAATGTAGCATCCTACCAATAGAACCTTCTCAGAAAAACACTTCTTACCACTCAGCATTTCAAAATTGAGTTTAAATGGGCCACTTTTCTATGTACAGCAAATTATACCACTTAAGTCCTGAATAGGAGAGGAGAGGTTTCAAAGAAATAGTTGAGAACATCTGCAAAAGACAAGTGGAACAACCATACAAATACATGAAGAACACACCAATTCAGTTTAAGTTATAAAGATATTTTCCTTGAATTTACCCAAACATTCCACATGATTAGCGAAGTCATTTATTTCAGAGCAAATCGAATCTTATCATATTCAATTTTAAAATATTACAATAGCCCTGCCGGTGTGGCTCAGAGGATTGAGCATCATGCCATGGACTGGGAAGTCCTGGTTCAATTCCTGGTCAGGGCACATGCTCGAGTTGTGGGTTCAGTCCCTAGTAGGAGGTGTGCAGGAGGCAGCCAATCGATGTTTCTCTCTCACATCAGTGTTTCTCTCTCTCTCCCTTCTGCTCTCTCTAAAAAAGATCAATCAAAACATATTTAAAAAATATTACAATATTTGCAAGATGATGGGCAAGTAAAACATTCTTTACTCCAGCCAGTGGTCCTCAGCATTTCTGGTACAAAAACCAGGGAACCAACACATGGAGCTGTGCCTGTATGGCAACTCTATGGAGTCTGTTACTGCACCACTGTGAGATAACACCAGCCTCCTATTCCAAGTCCTTTTCCTTGATGGCTAAGTAACCCGTAAGAGCTGTCACTTACATAGTTGCTTTGTGTAGACCCCACAAAACACAGGCTCTATGAAAGTCACTGTACCTGTCTCTAAACAAGCCACACCATTTCAAACTAAAGGAGAGAGATCAGATTAGTTGATCAGATGCTCTCTGTAGCCTAGAAATAGGCCTAGGAAGTAAAACTCGAGAGAACCCAAGACCCGCTTGACATTGATTTAGTGATCCCTCTTCAAAGGGTACCGCCAAGGTCTCAACCCCTTCCCCTGGGTGTGGCCTGGGCTGGTGAAGGCAAAAGCAGCACCTTGTGGGCACCGGGCCACTAGAGGCCCTGGAGCGCCCCTTCTAGACTCAGGAAGCTCTAACTGCACTTAATTAAAGAACAGATACTTCATTTCGTTTTAATCCCCCAGAGAGATAAAGCCTACAACCTCATTTCGTAGTCTTGTCTCCAGTGTAGTCGGGCTTGTAGTTCAAGTCCTTGTAGTTCCATGTGAGTCTCCGTGAGCTACGATGTCCCAACTACCAAATGCATTATCCTAATTTTTAACATCCTTTTTCTTGGGAATCTTTGCTTAATATTGGGGTTTAATACCCGTTTGATCCCCAAACTTTGAAATAAATCAAGCTTTATTCCACCTTCCAGGCCTTGGTCAGGAAATGTTAGATGTAGTTAGCTCGAAATTAGTTTAACAATTAAACCTTGGAAAAGGCCTCATGTTCATTTTGTTCAAATTACATCAAAACCCCTGAAATTGGAGGGTTCTGTCTTTCTACGTGGCAAAGCAGGAAACCAAGGGAGGTTAAAGGACTTGTCAGAATTAGTGACAAATTTGAGGCTAAAAGCCAAGTTTCCAGATGCTCAAAATCCAATGTTCATTCCTCTCGACTAGCTAATTTCCCTGGTGCTTTGGCCTTAAAATTTGGATTCCTGATGCTTATAGAAAAGGAGAAAGAGCCAAAACCTCTCCAGAGACTATCAGCTGTGCCAAGACACTTTCCTCTGGCATCTTTTCCACTCGAGAACCACGTTTAACAAGCTCCCTTTCTAGTGGGGCAGCATCGGACAGCCGCCGTGTCCTCCGGGCCTGCCAACCACAGGCTGTGTGCTCCTCTCCCCTTGCTTTCCCTGCACATCTGTCTTTAATCTTTGCCACTGCGGCCTCCTCACTAGCTTGACAGTTCATTTAACTCCAATGAAACACATCTACAAAATGTCTTTATGTTTACCAGAACATCTGCGGCAAAGCGTCGTCCACAGACTTCACAGGGAAACAGTTCCTGATTGCCATCTGTATAGGATCCAAGAGCACATCGCGTTAGTCTCAGGGAACTGCCTGCCTGAGAAGAAACGACAGGCTGGGACCTCTCGAGCTCCGTGTCCTCGCTCGTTTCCCCCCCGCCCCCCACCAACCACCTCCTTCGCCTAGGAAGGTCCTCAGGAAACTCACCCGTGTTTTCCTCTCATGTCACTAAACAGGTCAATTGCATGTCCTTCAGGCCATCGTGTATAATTATAATTATTTAATATCTAATATATTCCCAAACGAAGTGCCCAATAGCTTTGCTTTAGACGTTAAGTGCGAAGTTAATAACCTTAGTATGAAGTCATAGATAACCCAGCAGTAATGCCTGGAGGGCTCCTAGCAGAAGTCTCCGTGTTTGCTAGGTGGCGGCATGCCAGTTTATCAGGGACCATAAGGAAAAGGTTGCCTAACCACGGAATTTAAGGCAAACTTTTCTGAGAATGGCTTCCTCTTTCCCAATAAACAATCTTTGATGGAAAACAACTCCTACCTGTGAAGAAGGAAACAGAAGAGACTGGTGAAATGGATTAAGTAGAGCTGGTAGACTTTTACCGGAATGGGGAAAGAGGTACCTTAGCGACGAAGAAGCCTATGAGGATGATGAGCACTGCCCTGGGGTCCGTTCAGGGGCGGACCTCCTGATGGGGCCAGTGCACAACACTGCTGGCACTTCATTTATTTTTTATCCTCACCTGAGGACATTTCTCCATTTTTGTTCAGATAGAGTGGGAGAGAGAGAGAGGGAAACATCGATGTGAAAGGGAGGGACACATTGAGTGGCTGCTTCCCATACAACCCCAGCCAGGGCCGGGGACGAATCACAACCGAGGTATGTGCCCGTGACAGGAATCGAACCTGCAACTCATTGGTCCACGGGCTGACGCTCTAACCACGAAGCCAAACCGGCCAGGGCACTGCTGGCACCTTATATACAGTGGTGAATGAGTGAAGGATTAGAATCATAATATGCTCACTACTTGCTGTTGTTTTTAATATTTAATTATAGTAGTATTTTAAAAGTAAAATGAAGCATAAACCCACCCTGGCTGGATGGCTCAGTTGGCTGGAGCTTCAACCCATACACCAAGAGGTTATGGGTTTGACTCCTGGTCAGGGCACATACTTAGGTTGTGGGTTCAATTCCTAGTCAAGGCATGTATGGGAGGCAACTGATCGGTTTCTCTCTCACTCTCCCCCCACCCCCCTGAAATCAATAAAAACATATCCTTGGGTGAGGATTAAAAAGAAAAAAGAATAAACTGAAATATATACAAAAACAAAACAAGCTGAAACTGTGCCATGTCCCAATGCCTCAAAGTACCTGACCCAGAGTAAAGTGCTCAATAAATACTTGTTGAATGTACGGGCCAAACAATAATTGAGTTTCTACCACAGGACCAATCATTCATTCAATAAATATCTGCTCTATGCAACTGTGGGACTGCTGAGAGAAGCCACACGTGGTCCAGCACAGAAAAGGAGAAAAGTATGCACATAAATTAAGTTAGGAGAGTGTCACGAGGAAAGAAAAACATGAATTCTGCAAAAAAGTGTTTCACTTCGTATTACTTCCTTTCTGTTCATCTGGACTTGAGTCTATAAAAATTTTAAAGGCAGTTTGATCCTGGGGAAGATTTTACACTAGAATTAAAGCCTGGAATTTTCCTAGAGACCAGGGGAGCGATCCAGAACGCGGACGAGAAGAACCTCAGCTGTGGAAGAGGAATGTGACAGGTGGGAGGATGACGAGCCGGGGAGGAAAGACAGGATTTTAGTCACAAGCTCAGGTCGTAGGCCTGAAATGCAAAGGAAGGAGGACAGGGAAGACACTCTGGTCAAAGAATCGACAGCAGGACTAGCTCCGAGGGGAGCTGGGTGGTGGCAAAGAGAGAAGGGGGCCCGAGGATGGACAGGATGGTAGGGCTGGGGACAGAAATGAAGAGTTTGAAAAATTGGGCCACGTTAGTATGAAAAATGACCTCAGCTTTGGAAACACTGAGTTTGAAACAGAGTCGGCCGCCAGCAGGCTGGAAATGAGGGAGGTCACCACTGGAGACACAGATGCAGGCTTTGTTTGGAGAGTGAGGTAGAGGCATGATATTGCCAGGGAAGCGGTCATGGAAAGAGAAGCGAGGGATGATCCCGAGGGAACTCCACGTGTGAGGGCCAAGAAGATGATGATGATAAGCCAGAAAGAGAAGCAGGAGAGAACAGGGTCATGGAAACCAAGGGAAGACAGTTTACAAAAAGGAAGGCTTGATTAACAGGAATCAGATGGTAGCTCATTACACATATTGTTGATTTAAATGATTTCTTCTCACATCTGCCAGATGGTATTGTATTTGCAACACAGGTCATCCATTAGAGCATACAGAAACACCACTCATCCTCTCTGTTCTTTTGGCCTGCTAGCTCTGTAAAACAGGGTTTTAATTTTTTTTTCCCCCAGCAGAGATATTCCATCCCTCCACATCCTTACTTGCTAATAAAAACTGCTCATTCTAATGATAAAACAGCTGCTTTTTCTGAAACACTAATGAGGGTTTATTTGTACAAATATTACTTTAACATTTGTATAGTGTTTTCCTGTTCCCCAAATGCTTTTCATATGTAATCTCATTTGTTCCTCACAATAATCCTATGAGATAGGGTTGGTGGTATTATTATTATTATTATTATTATTATTATTATTTACAGATAAGAAAATGGGAGGTTCAAGGTTCGGTGGCTTCTCTAAGACCACAGGTAATAAGTGGTAACACTGACACTTGAACCTGACCCATGTATTAAGACTATTTATTCAGCTGTCACCATAAACGTAGATACATTACTCAGTACTAACCTGCAAAGCAAATGGTAGGCCCTGGAGAAACAACAGCCTTTGGTTTAAATCAGTGAGTTTACAGAGTTCAGTGAATTTATTTATTTTATTTATTTTTTTATCCTCACCCAAGGATACCTTTTTTTGCATTTATCTACAGATAGAGCAGGAGGGAGAGAGGGAGGAAGAGAGAGAAACATCAGTGTGAGAGAGACACATAGACTGGTTGCCACGCACACGACCCCAACTGGAGCCAAGGACAAACTGCAACTGAGTACGTGTTGTTAGCGGGAACCGAACCCCGGGTCTCTCTGGACCGCCGGCCAACGCTCTAACCGCTGAGCCAAACCGGCCAGGGCGAGTTCAGTAAATTTAAATGACAGGTACAATATGATTCAACTGAACAACTGAAATACATGTACCACCATATTCTAAATGACATTCAACTTGGAAGCTTGACTAACAAAGAAAAAAGGGAACTGGCCTCACTCAGTTGAACAAACACGGAGACTAGTGAGGTCTACAGTGTTAGTGACAGAATGCTGAATCACATGGAATATATGATCACTGGGATCTTAAAAGAATTCTTTGAAATAACCAAAACACTCTTCCATAGGTGAGTAATTAAATAAACTGTTATAGCCATGCCCTGGGATACTACTTATCAATAGAAAGGAAAACTGGTGATACATGCAACAACCTGGATGATCTCAATGGAAGTCTCAAAAGGCCACGTGCTGTATGATTCCACTTGTGTAACATTCTCCAGGTGACAAAATCATGCAGGTGGAAAGCAGATGAGTGACTGCCAAGAGGTAGGGGTGGTTGGGGAGGGGGGCGGTTGTGACCGCACAGGGGTAGACTGAGAAAGACCTTTAGGTGATGGAGTAGTTCGGTTTACTGTGGTGGTCACACATGTATAAAATGGTATAGAGTTACAAACACACCTATATTTCTTGGTTTGGATACTGTACTGTAGCTATTTAAGATGTAACTTGGGGGAATCTGGGTGAAGGGTACATGAGCCCTCTTACACTATTTTGAAACTTTGTGAACTATAATTATGTCAAAATTAAAAGTGTTTAAAAATATCTAGGAGTTGGCAAATTGTGGCCCATGGGGCAAATCTGGGGCTGCTTTTTCTGTAAATAGATTTTTGTTGGTAAACAGTCATGCCATTCATTTGTTTATATGATATATATTGCTGCTTTCACATTGCACAGCAGAGCTGAAACGGTATGGCTTGCACAGCCAAACATTTTACTTTTTGGCATTTACAGAAGAAGGTCACCAACCACTAAATGAGAATGTAGTAATTAAAAGTGATTTGGGGAAGAAGAACATAAAAAATGTTAATGATACATTATACTTAAAAATAAAGACTACTCTCTCTATATGCAGTACTTACCTCTGAGTGGTAAGAATAAAGGTGATTATTCTTTTTCCTACATTTTCAATTTTTCTATAAATATTATACATCAGTCTTTTAAAAATCAGAATAAAAGATTTAGCCCAGCTAGTGTGGCTCAGTGGTTGAGCACTGACCCCTGCACCAGGAGGTCGCTGGTTTGATTCCCCGTCAGGGCACATGCCCAGATTGTGGGCCAAATCCCCAGTGAGGGGCATGCAGGAGGCGGCCAATCGATGTTCTCTCATCGATGATTCTGTCTTTCTCTCCCTCTCTATTCTTCTCTCTTTAAAAGGCAATAAAGAAAAAAAAAATTTTTTTAAATAAATAAATAAAATAAAAATTAGAATAAAAGATTTAAAAACCCTATGGAGCATCTCCCCAGCTGTCGGAAAGGTGCCCTGTCCTGAGGCAGCATAGCTGCGCTGGGGTGGCCTCCCGCCCCCAGCCACGAGCACCGGGCGTGACAGGGCTCACTGAGCCCTCATCCACAGCGCGGCCTCTGCCCGGGAGTCGCCTGCACCTCCTGGACCCTCATCCTGTACCACAGTGAGGTGACCGTGACGAAGGCTAAGATCAATGCCCTCATTAAAGCAGCTGTAGTAAATGTTGAACCTTTCTGTCCAGGCTTGTTTGCAAAGGCTCCCGCCAAAGTCAACATCAGGAGCCTGGGCTGCAGTGTGGGGCGGGCGGACCTGCCCCTCAACCACAGCCGCCCTAGCAATGAAGGGAGAATCTGTAGAGTTCGATAATGCC